GCACTTATACACACCAGTATTCCATACCATCAGCTCTTTGTTCATACTCGCTGCATTACACTGCAGCCCACATCCACTTGAATATGTGGATGCGGGCTGTTCTTTGTATATGTCCTCAGGCATTATGTATCCCAGATGTTGCATTTCTTGTTTCTTCCTTACCACCACCACTTCTGTTACTTAGCGATTTAAATGCTCAACATTTCCTCTGGGAGGGGGTCTCACTGTGACTCCTGTATCATTCAGTTGGAGGCTTTTCTCTCTTCTCTCCCCCTCCATGTTTTAAATATGGGTACCCCCACCTATTTTGATCCTTGTACTCATTCTCTCCTTGCATCAATCTCTCGGTTTGCTCTTTCTCAACTTTACCTGTCTGTCCTCCTGGACTTGCAAGACAGTGATCATTTTCCAATCACCCTTAGTTCTCCTTCATATTCACCATCACCTCGTAGCCCACACTGGCAATTTGACTGAGCGAATTGGGACCTTTACTCACATCAAACTACTTTTAGTGAGGATCATTCTTCATCCTCCATTGATGAGCTTTTACACCTCTTCTTGACCTCAGTTTTTAACCACAACTTCAGATTCTGTACCCCAAAACTTGGACAAGCATTCTCAGAGGTGTGTCCCTTGGTGGTCTCCTGCTTGTGCTTAGGCAGTACATTTGAAACGCTCTGCATGGGGCAGGTAACGGTACAACAGAACCACAGAGCGACTCCTTGATTTTAAGCAGAAGAGAGTGGTCGCCCCCATGTCATCCATGACGCTAAATGCACTTGCTGGTGGGATTATGTTTCTACCATCACCTCTGAGTGCAGTCTGGAAAAAAGTTCAGAAAATGAGTGGTAAATACTCTCCCTACCCGGCTCCCATTCTTTGGGTTGCCGGTATCACTACAGAAAAACCTCTTGACGCTGCCACCAAAATTGGTAATCATCTTGTCCGTATCTCTCAGGGGCTCCATCTATGTCCCTCTTTCTTTCCTCCAAGTGCCTTCTACACCCCTGGAACTGGGAGCAACACTCTCCGCTTGCCGATCATCGGCAGCTTGTCCTGACGGCATTCATATTAGTATGTTACAGTATTTACATCAGTCAGCCCTTGCTGTCCTCTTACAACTCTTTAATCTTATTTGGTCTTGAGTAGTACTTCCCCAGCTGTGGAAGTCTGCCACTGTCCTCCCTTTCTGCAAACTGGGTGCTATGGAACATGATGCCTCCCACTATCATCCCATTGCTCTTACCAATGCAGTTTGCCAAGTGATGGAATGTCTGGTAAATAGCATTTCGTGTGGTATTCAGAGAGAGACGATAGTCTCTCCACTAGTCAACATGGCTTTTGTAAAGGCTGTTCTACCACTGACCCTTTACTATGCTTGGATATGCATGTTTGTAATGCCCTTGCCAATAACCACTCAGTTATTACCATCATTTTTGATCCTGAAAAGGCATATAACACAACTTGGAGGTATAACATCTTGGCCCAGGCCCTCTCCTTAGGCCTCTGAGGCAATCTACCATTTTTCCTTAAGAACTTCTTAACTGAGAGAGACTTCCATGTTCGGGTTAATAATATGCTTTCCCCGGACTTTGTCCAAGCTGAAGGTGTCCCCCAGAGAAGTGTTCTGAGCACAACACTTTTCCTCCTTGCTGTAAATGATCTGGTATCTATTCTTACATTTAATATTAGGTCATTACTCTGTTGATGACTTCGCTATAGCTTGTGCAGGCGTTGATTCACCTCATTGCAGTTTCTCTCCAGCATGCGGTCAACTGTGTTTCCAATTGGGCCACTACTCATGGGTTTAAATTTTCTACTAAAACTCTCCAAATTACTTTCATTAAACGTTCTGTCGTCTCTGATCATCCATTGTACCTATATGGCTCCCGTATCCCAGAAGGTGATACCGTCAGATTTCTCGATCTTCTGTTTGACAGTAGGTTATCCTGGAAACCTCACGTTACCTCTCTGAAGGCAACTTGTCATAGCCGGCTGAACCTCCTTCAAACCCTCGTTCATCTTTCATGGGGGGTTGATCGCAGAACTCTCCTTTGACTACATTCAGCCCTAATTTTATGGAAACTCTATTATGGCTACCAGACATATTCAGCGGCCTCCCCTGCAACTCTTTGTAGCCTTAATCCCATCCATCACCAGGGATTATGTTTATGCCTCGGTGCTTTTTGCTCTTCACCAGTTGAGCCTCTATGCAGAGGTAAACATTCTGTCCTTGACCGATCACCTTGATGCTCATTGCCTTCACTATTATTTTCGCTCTCATGACCTCTGTAACCCTTCCATATATAGGATAGTCACTGATGTTAGTAGACTTTATTTGTTCATCACCCCTGTTTACTCCATCCCTTTTCTCTTCGCCTACATTCGCTCTTGTCTTCTCTTCAGTTACAACCTTTTTATGTTCATGTAGCATCTTAGTTTTTCCTACCCCCTTGGGAAGTTCCGATGGTTGTGTGTGTTCTTTCCCCACTGCCATGGGCGACAGCCCAACTGCTGTGGCTTCTCGCTCGGCTAGCATTTTTTACCGCTGAATTGCATGTCATTCTCGTAGCACTTACGTGTATTACATCTATGCCTGTGTCACCCTCTTGTTCATTTCCAACTCCCTTAGTGCTTTACAGGCTATAAGAAAATTTAATACACCTCATCCCATGGTTCTTTGTATCCAACTTTGGTTACGCTGTATCTCTAGCAAGCACACAGATATTGTTTTCTGTTGGGTCCCCAGTCATGTTGACGTACAGGGCAATGAAGAGGCAGACACTGCTGCGCAGTCAGCAGTACATAACCTCCCAGTTCATACAGAAGTCTTCCATTCATAGACTATTTTGCTGTAATTGCTACCCACTTTCACACCCGTTGGCAACAACGTTGGTCTGATCTGCTACATAAATTACATTCTATTAAAGCAAGTACAGGTTTTTGGCCGTCTTCTTGTCATCAATGTCGAGGTTGGGAGACTATCTCCCGTCTTCGCATCGGGCTCGTCTAACTCACGGGTATCTCATGAAGAGGTGCCCTGTTCCACTCTGAGAAGTCATTATGATTTCGTCAGACCTGTCAGGTTCCAGTTTCTGTTAGCCATATTCTGTTGGACTGTCCAATCTATCACCGAGCACGTAGAATTTACCTCCAACGTCGTCACCGCTCTACTACCCTTACTTTACCTTCCCTTCTTGTTGATGGACCCTCCTTTAACCCCGACTCTCTTGTTGACTTTTTGACAGCAGCTGATTTACTGCACAAACTCTGATGATGATGCCTCTAGAACTCCTCAGCCCTTTCTACCTCATTATTATCTTGCTACCCTCTACCCCTGCATTATCCACTGCCCCGCTGTACTCCCTGACCTCATAATAATCCCCCTCTCTCTTGCTACTCAATATCCCTGCACCCTTCCCTGCCCTAATGTGCTGTATGAACCTTGTAGGTTCAGCGCTTCTTTTTGATTATAATGTGGCATAATGCTCGTCTATAGGACCCATCAGGTCTGACACTTTTCAATAACATATCTGTGTGAGGTCCATTAAGTCACTATGAGGCACAAGTCTGCTAGAAGAGTGTCTCGGCATCTGCCCCTTCATATCCCGGGACATCAACATGACTCGAAGATGTTAACTGCTCCTGGATCTTTTGGCCCAGAAGATAGAGAAAAGCATACTAGGCGAGGGTAGACAGAGCACATTGGAAATGTAAGTGAACAGAGATCAAACAAAATTAGCCATCAGGACAAGAGCAGCAAGGATTGCGTGTAGTTCTGCAGTGAACATAAATGACAATTTCGAGGTATGAAGGTGATTTAGGCTTCTTGAGGAGTGTTTCTCCTATAGGGAATGAAGGCAAGTGGTTACTGAGATTTGATGTGCGGTGAGAGTCACATATGAACATCTTGGGTTTCGCAGATGAGGACGTACAGTATCTACTCATTGAGCAACACATTTTCTTAAGCAAATGTTGGTACATTACTGTAAAGCAGAACCATCGGCAAAGTGACTTAACACTTAAATATGAACAAGTTTTGTCATGCTTCCTCGACCTTGTCGGTAGTTCCCAGTTACATGTTCTAGCATCAAAACATTGTCTCGTTTTTTACTACACTGGCCGTCTTGTACCAGGTAGGAAGACGCAGAAACAGAAAACACTTTCACTTTCATTGAATAGCTGTCTGGCTTGAAGCGCACGTGTGTGTTTAGGTCGCTGTGCAATGGTATACTCATATCTAACAAGTACAATTCCACCTGTCTCAGTGCACGCAAGAGTACGACATAAATTTATAATGCAGTTTAAAAGCGTTAAAATTTGAAGCCACTCAGAACGTGGAAACTAACATCCAAACTTATTAAAACTTAAATTGGCACCTACACGGGCCAAAACTAATTCAAACCTGCCACTAAAAACACCAACTTTGAAGGTTTAATTCTAATAAGAGGCATTCTCCACTTATCTTTAAGAGTAATATCTCAAAATGCATCAGCACTTTAAAGTTTGAAGCGGCTCAGAAGTTGCATTCACAAGTTAAAGGTGTTGAAGTTTAGCAGGCGACTTACACAGCCCAAAATTAACCTAAACTTTCTCTAAGATATAGTTGCAATGAAGGTTTGAGGTACACAGTTTTTCCTGAATTCCTTTATAAATGGTTCCATGATCACACCCCACGTATATTAGTAAAAAAAAAAAAAAGCCAAATGAGTTATCTAGTGTTAACTACAGCTTCATAAACCTAGCACCATGAAAAGACGGCAGGATATTGCACTGTGGACATCACGGACGAGTTGTGAATATGAATGAGCAGACAAGAGCAACCAAGAACAGTGTTCGTTAGGACGTCTAACAAAGATATTATTTGTGATGCTCTAACCAGAACAGGGAATTTCTTCACTGGAACAGAGGAAGAGGGAGGACATCATCGCAAGAAGAGGGGTGGAGCAAAGTGAGGGAAGGGAGGGACTTCTTAACTAGAATAAGGAGATAGAACCTACTTCTTAACGGAGACCTTGTTGGCGCGATCAGCACTGAGACACAGCTTCTTGTAAGCCTTGTGTAGGAAGGTCATGGGCGAGGCGTTAATGGCGATGAGGTTGTAGGCCATCTTCAGGATCTCGTCTGCCCACAACTGTAAACAAAAAACAAAGATGAATTATTAGGTATCCCTGAAAAGGGGGACCATCAACAGGTTGCCTGATTTTTTTTCTCTCTCAAGTTTTCTATTTATTTTACTCTTCTAAACATCTTATATGTTTAATGGTTGATGGATCTTAAGGCCAGGATACTACCTATTACGTTTTGTTGGTGTGTGAGTAAACGTGTCAATACAGTAAAATAATTAAAGCAAAAACTAAGAATTGGTGGAATCTGGGTGTGGAGGACCAGATTGTGAGTGTGGGTGCTGTAACTGGAGAATGACTCGTCTGATAGGCTTTTAATTTCCACCACTGGTTTTCTGAGCACAAGACTCACGCTGCGATTGTGACTTAAGTCCCAACTGCCAATTTTATCAGTGATTTTTTTTTTCGATTAAAGAATGCTGCTTCAGATCGGCTTTAAAATACTGACGACGTATTCTGTAAGAGTGATACACCGTAAGTTTAGTCCTAGTCAATGATTGGAACAGCCTGCCCAATGGTGTTTATTTAGGTTAGATAAATACACGAGTGAGAAGGGGTTGGATCTGAGTGGGACTTGCACACGAGTTAACAGGGTTTCCAAAATTTATTCCTTAGACAGCATTGAAAATAGGTTGGGCAAATATATTTCTGTTAGTGGGTTTGGGTTTGAGAAAGACCTGCCTAGTATGGGCCAGTAGGCCTGCTGTAGTGTTCCTCCTCTGTTCTTATGAGTAGGTGCGACTTTGAAATTTTTCGGAATATTTTAAAACATTTCGAACTGTTGAAATCAGATCAATTATTGTACAAGAGAATGCCTTTTGTGATTGGCTTCAAACTTTCATTATTATGGTCTATTGTTCCCATGATATAAACGGGAGATAATCCAAAAGTGATAAGAGAAAAATCTTATTTTTATCCACTGTGAGCACTGACCTAAATTAATATCCACTTGACCCTTGCAACCACATTTAGGCAAATACATATGCACATCAAGTACACGTGAACACACATTCACACATGTACATATTAACATGAGTTCGCAGATATGAACGCATAACTATTTGCATACACATACTGATCCATATACAAAAGTACACATGAAGTTACCCTTATGAAGGGTAACTTCATAAGGACACACACACACACACACACACACACACACACACACACACACACACACACACACACACACACACACACACACCTCCTGGAGTTTTATGACAAGGTAACAGAAGTAAGACACGAGAGAGAGGGGTGGGTAGATTGCGTTTTCCTAGACTGCAGGAAGGCCTTTGACACAGTTCCCCACAAGAGATTAGTGCAGAAGCTGGAGGATCAGGCGCACGTAAAAGGGAGGGCACTGCAATGGATAAGAGAATACCTGACAGGGAGGCAGCAACGAGTCATGGTACGTGAAGAGGTATCACAGTGGGCGCCTGTTACGAGCGGGGTCCCACAGGGGTCAGTTCTAGGACAAGTGCTATTTTTGATATATGTGAACGACATGATGGAAGGAATAGACTCTGAAGTGTCCCTGTTCGCAGATGACGTGAAGTTGATGAGAAGGATTAAATCGGACGAGGATGAGGCAGGACTGCAAAGAGACCTGGACAGGCTGGACATGTGGTCCAGCAACTGGCTTCTCGAATTCAATCCAGCCAAATGCAAAGTCATGAAGATTGGGGAGGGGCAAAGAAGACCGCAGACAGTATAGGCTAGGTGGACAAAGAATACAGACCTCACTCAGGGAGAAAGACCTTGGGGTGACCATAACACCGAGCACATCACCGGAGGCACACATCAACCAAATAACCGCTGCAGCATACGGGCGCCTGGCAACCTGAGAATAGCGTTCCGATACCTTAATAAGGAATCGTTTCAATACACTGTACACTTGTGTATGTTAGGCCATACTGGAGTATGCAGCACAGTCTGGAACCCACACCTGGTCAAGCACGTCAAGAAGTTAGTAGAAAGTACAAGGTTTGCAACAAGGCTAGTCCCAGAGCTCAAGGGAATGTCATACGAGGAAAGGTTAGGGAAATCGGACTGACGACACTGGAGGACAGAAGGGTCAGGGGAGACATGATAACGACATACAAGATACTGCGGGGAATAGACAGCTGGACAGAGATAGGATGTTCCAGAGAGGGGACACAGGGACAAGGGGTCACAAACTGGAAGCTGAAGACTCAGACGAGTCACAGGGACGTTAGGAAGTATTTCTTCAGTCATAGAGTTGTCAGCAAGTGGAATAGCCTAGCAAGTGAAGTAGTGGAGGCAGGAACCATACATAGTTTTAGGAAGAGGTATGACAAAGCTCAGGAAGCAGAGAGAGAGAGAGGATCCAGTAGCGATCAGTGAAGAGGCGGGGCCAGGAGCTGAGTCTCGACCCCTGCAACCACAATTAGGTGAGTACAATTAGGTGAGTACACACACACACACACACACACACACGACTTTACCAAATGCAAAGTCATGAAGATTGGGGAAGGGCAAAGAAGACCACAGACACAATATAGTCTAGATGGACAAAGACTGCAAACCTCACTCAAGGAAAAAGATCTGGGGGTGAGTATAACACCGAGCATATCTCCTGAGGCGCACATCAATCAGATAACTGCTGCAGCATACGGGCGTCTGGCAAACCTACGGATAGCGTTCCGATACCTCAGTAAGGAATCGTTCAAGACTCTGTATACCATTATGTTAGGCCCATACTAGAGTATGCAGCACCAGTTTGGAATCCACACCTGGTCAAGCACGTCAAGAAATTAGAGAAAGTGCAAAGGTTTGCAACAAGACTAGTCCCAGAGCTAAGGGGATTGTCCTACGAAGAAAGGTTGAGGGAAATCGGCCTGAGGGACACTGGAGGACAGGAGGGTCAGGGGAAGACATGATAACGACAATATAAAAATACTGCGCGGAATAGACAAGGTGGACAAAGACGGGATGTTCCAGAGATGGGACACAGAAACAAGAGGTCACAATTGGAAGTTGAAGACTCAGATGAATCAAAGGAATCTTAGGAAGTATTTCTTCAGTCATAGAGTAGCCAGGCCGTGGAATAGCCTAGAAAGTGACGTAGTGGAGGCGGGAACCATACATAGTTTTAAGGCGAGGTATGATAAAGCTCATGGAGCAGGGAGAGAGAGGACCTAGTAGCAATCAGCGAAGAGGCGGGGCCAGGAGCTATGACTCGACCTCTGCAACTACAAATAGGTGAGTACACACACACACACACACACACATGTATGCATATGCAGAAGTGTGTATAAGTACAGTTGGCCACAAGGAAGCTGAGATAAATTAAGGTCGATGGAGGCATGTGGTAAATAGTATAAGGTTACGAATGAATACGTGTCCACACAGTGTTGTAACACAGGCGATGATTGGTAGACGAGATGCCGATGATTGTGTGTAATACTAGTTCACTATGTTATTGTTATGGACTTGTTATAAAGTAAGAACATATATACACCGAGAGGCGTATTTCTCAGTGTATAAGCAGTTTACTTCACTGCGTATGTTAATGATAGTCTTTTTGACTGGTGCTAAACAGGACGTGGGCTTAACGACCCTCATGTTGTCGACACGTTTTAACCCAAAGAACATCAAATAAAAATTATGCTTCTGATTAGTTGGATTACTGTGATGTTTATATTTTACGTGACTTTCTTCCCTCTTTCTTTCTCTCCCCTTTCTCTTCTCTCCTCTCTCTTCTCTTCTCTTTATTTTTACCAGGGTTGAAAGATTACTAAGATTCCTGACTAACTGAAACTACTGACAAGTTAAGATTCCTAACTTTATTGACAATCCTCTCTCCCCTCTCTCTCTCCCTCCCTCCCCCGTCTACTTATAACCTCTGTTTTATCTCGATTCATCCCCTCTTCATTCTTGCTGTCCCTGTTATGGCCTCCAAACAATTACTTTTTAAAGAGGTGGACGGCTAAGCCAACGGAAGGCCTCTGTCAGGAGCTCAAAAGATGCAGTGGCGGGTCATTATATGACTTAAGACCCGCTTCAGAAAACTTTTGCCCTGTTTCCTGACGAATCTTTCGTACTAACCTAACCTCTCCTAAGTGCGTGTTACTTGCTAATATCCGGAGGATCTTCGTCAAAACAACAAAGGTATGAAGCGAGTTAGGAGACATGCTGACAACTTTCACAACTGTGAACATCAACAATGTTCTGCTACATTAGTTTATACAATAATTATTTAGTGGCAACTAAAGATGATTATATTTACATTTGCTCTTTCGGCAAGGAATTGCCTTCATGCTAGTTGATGGAATTTTGATGTAAGGAATTAGAGCTGCTCTCTCCATCACAGGATCAAACTTAATTACCACCATATTTTTACTGCGTCGAAGTTCCGCGCTGTGTAGGTTTTTATCAATCAAGCTCTCCAAAATTGTGACTGACTTTATACCTGGAGGTTGAGACCCGCGCGGCCCGTTCCCAGACCAGGTCTACAGAAGGATCAACGCCTTATCAGCCAGGCAACAACAGCAGTAGTACTCATCTGTGTGCTGCAGACCTCGTGTGAGCCACTGTTTCTAGATCAGTCGCTGCAAGTCAGTTGTATGTATGATGCTAGGGAACAGCCAGGTGACCTGGATTATAAAACTTTCTTCCTCTTTCCCCCAGAACACTTCTAAGGCTACTGATGCTCAGTGGAAAGCTCGATATCCTCATTGCCCTGAGTTCTCTCAGCTTTGGATGACACACTTCTTCACTTGATACATGAAGTATATCGTGTGTGATGTAATATGACAGGGTAACACCATCCTGTGTGACCGATTATGACAGGGTAACACCATCCTGTGTGACTGAATATGACAGGGTAACACCATCCTGTGTGACTGAATATGACAGCGAAACACCATCCTGTGTGACTGAATATGACAGCGAAACACCATCCTGTGTGACTGAATATGACAGGGAAACACCATCCTGTTTGAGTATGACAGGGAAACACCATCCTGTGTGACTGAATATGACAGGG